AGAGGTTCTGAGGTGCTTCTCTCTTTTTCTGTGTAGTTGGTATATTGAAAGGTGACGAGATGGCTAACAGTGTCAAAACCTTCCTCCAGGACCTGGCCAGGGGCATCAAAGACTCCATCTGGGGTATCTGTACCATCTCAAAGCTGGATGCTCGGATACAGCAGAAGAGGGAAGAGCTTCGATGGAGACAGGCCAGCAGCGTCCTTGCGCAGAGGAGAACACAGAGTGTAGAGCGGAAGCAGGAGAGTGAACCACGTATTATCAGTAGGATTATCCTGTGCTGTGCCTGGAATGGAGGCGTATTCTGGTTTAGTCTCATGCTGTTTTACCGAGTGTTTATTCCTGTGCTTCAGTCAGTGACAGCGCAAATTATTGGTGATCCGTTACTACATGGAGATGTTTGGTCATGGCTGGAATTCCTCCTCACATCAATTTTCAGTGCTCTCTGGGTCCTTACCCTGTTTGTGCTGAACAAAGTTGTCAATGCCATTTGGTTCCAAGATATAGCTGATCTGGCATTTGAAGTATCAGGAAGGAAGCCGCACCCATTCCCTAGTGTCAATAAAATAATTGCTGATATGCTCTTCAACCTTTTGTTGCAAGCTCTTTTCCTTTTCCAGGGGATGTTTGTGAGTCTCTTCCCCATCCATCTCGTTGGTCAGCTGGTTAGCCTCCTGCATATGTCCCTTCTCTATTCACTTTACTGCTTTGAATATCGCTGGTTTAATAAAGAAATTGAGACGCACCAGCGATTGTCAAACATAGAAAGGAATTGGCCTTATTACTTCGGATTTGGTTTGCCCTTGGCTTTCCTCACAGCAATGCAGTCCTCATACATTACCAGTGGCTGCCTCTTCTCCATCCTCTTTCCTTTATTCATTATCAGCGCTAATGAGGCAAAGATTCCCGGCAAAGCATACCTTTTTCAGTTGCGCCTCTTCTCCTTGGTGGTCTTCTTAAGCAACAGACTTTTCCACAAGACAGTCTACCTGCAGTCAGCTCTGAGCAGCTCAGCCTCTGCAGAGAAGTTCCCCTCACCACATCCATCTCCTGCCAAACTGAAGGCTGCCGCCGACCACTGATTCCCCTGCCATCCAGGACGGATGTATGGGACACTTCTCCCTGCTGACCTCCCCTAACCAGGGAAGGCAGGACCCAGTCTGCCAGGGGTCCTTTGCCTATTTCCTTGTCTCTGACAAACTTAAGCAGAATCTTCTGACACCAGTGTATAGATTTTTAGCACCCCAGTACTTCAAAACAAGTGAAAAGCCTGTGGTCTAAATGGACTGTAGGTTTTTCTGTGGCTATTATATAGCATTTGCTGGACCCGGGGCCTGGACTGATTTAAATACACTTTCTCCCTGTGCCATTTATCATCCCACCTTCCTTCCTGCCTTCGACTCTTGGATGAATGTATTTTGTAAATCTAGTTGTTGTAATTTGTTATGTTCCTTTGGTTCTGTGAAGCACATACATTGGATGTGGCTAGTAAAGGAGGATCTCAGTCACTCCTGGTCACGCCCCTTAATAGCCATCACTGTCTTGTTTTCTGTAACTCAGGTGAGGTTTTGGTCTTGTTCCACTGCAAAAAAAAAAGGATCTGAAGAGATGAGATGCAACAAGAGGAAACACCTCTCAGCCACATCATTTGGGCTTTGAGGTGTGATTTTCTTTCTTTCTCGTGAAGGGCAAAGACTTTCTTCACTGGTACATAAAGTATCCCAACTACAGGGAGTTAGCAAGTCCGGACAAGTGCCACTGAGACACCAAATGCTCAGAGATGGTCTGAGGTTCTGGAAGTCTCAGTTTACTGTTGGCCATTGCTGGGCCTGTCTTCAAAGGAATATTGGGTGCTGCAAATAGGAACTGATGGGGCAAATTTATTAAACCCATTGAACTTCTTATTTGTTGGCTTTTTTTCCTGTCATTTTAAGAAACTATATGAGTGGGGATAGGATGTCAAAGCAATTGTACAGTTTTAGAATATCAAAATTAAACACCAACTGGTTTCCAAAAAAAAAAAAAAAAAGAAGGATAATAGAAGAAGAATTGTTGTGTTGCAGAAGAATCCCATGGACTGCAAACAAACTAACAAGTTTGCCTTGGAGGAAGTGCAACAAGGGCGACCTCTGAGGCAAAGAGGATGATACCTAATTTCTCAAACTTTGTGCTTCTGTGGGAAAGAGTAAGTCCTTTGAAAAATACATCATTTTAGGAAAGGTTGAGGGTCATATAAAGAAAAGAAAACACTCAACAAGATAGAGTAATATAGTCATTGCAACACTGGACTCAATAATATCAGTGATGGTGAGGATGATACAAATAGGGCAAGGTTCAGAATTATGGTTCAAATGGTCATATGAATCTTAATAGACATGATGCTGGACAAATCTCTCTCTCTAGTTAGAGCTAGAGATAGAGAGAGGTAGATAAAGATGGAGATAGAGATAGAGATTGATAGAGGTAGAGATGACAGAGACACAGAGAGAGAGAGAGAGAGAGATACAGAACAAGATACAGATACAGATACAGATGGAGGGAGCTTGAAATCTTGACTGTTGTTGCTGTAGAATTGGAATTACCTCAAACCATGTCCCTTTAGGATTGCAACTTCATGCTACTAGACCATAACCAGAAAGGCTAGAATAGAATGTTTTTGTTGTTGTTGTGTACTGTTACATCAATACTGACCCATAGCTAACCCTCCAGTGCGTTTTCAAAGGCAGTAATTACATGGAAGGAGATTGTCCATCTGTCTCACACAGAGCAACTGGCAGATTAAAATCATTTGCCTTTAAGATTGCAGGGCATATTTTTACCACTAGGCCACCAGAACCGAATGGAGTAGAATAGAATAGAATAGAATAGAATAGAATAGAATAGAATAGAATAGAATAGAATAGAATAGAATAGAATAGGAGATAAACATATACATTTGAAACTGACACCAACATCATACAACTTTTACATATATCTGCAATTATTTATTTAGTTTAATAGCATGTTCATAACTGAGCATAAAATTTCATTGTGATTTAGGTCTATAAATGTAATATACAGTGAAATTTTGTTTAGATATATAAGCATAACATGTAATGAAATTTTCAAAATATAATTAAATAGGTTACCTTGTTTTGTAAACAGTTTTACTAAATAAGCTTGTTGTTGTTGTAGTTGTTATGTGTCAATGAGTCATTTGTCACTCATAGTGACCTGTACAACACAGTTCTAAGAGCAACCCTATCCTAAGCCAATCTCATGATCTCTGAAAGATCTAATCCCATTTTTTCAGTCGCTGAGTCAATCCATTTCATTCTGGATCTTCCTCTCTTAAGCTGTCCTTCCACCTTTCCAAACATGAGGTTCTTCTCCAAGGATTAGTCCTTCATGGCCATGTGCTCAACATTTATAAGACAGAGTTTCAAAATCCTTGCCTTTAGAATCTGCTTGGTTTTATCCTTTCTGGGACTAACCTGTTTGTTCTCCTGCTAGTCCACAGTATATTCAACACTCTATTCCAGCATCACAACTTAAAGGTATTGATTCTTCTTCTATTATCGTGTTGTTTTTAAGTGGTGTTGAGTCGCAGGCGACTCATAGTGACCCTATGAAGGAGAGTCCTCAACACTTGCTCTGACACATAGTATTTTATAAAATTGCTTTCAAAATTTATGTCAATATTGCTAATGATATTTAAGATGTCAATGCAAACTGACAGTGTCATTCTGCTAACTCTTCACATGGTACATGCTTGTGCTAACTTCATGTTCATGAGATATGTTGCTTCCAATCAACAAGTGTAAATTCAAGTTTATTCCAGCAACATAATCACAAGAAACTTCTAATTTCCTCAATGGTCCAGAAAGTTTTTCCTCATAGCAGGTACAAGTTAGCTCTTCCTTAATTGCCCAATAAAGAAAATCTTTAACTCTGGTTCCGTCTCTAGAACTCCTCTAGGCTACATCTCACCACAGACTTTTCAGTCCAATTACCTCTTTCTTTTATGTTGGCCTCACAGTTGTTAATCATGTTGAAGATATTTATGATCAATGTTGAAATATGTTTCTGCAGTTTAGGCATCTGGTGACCCATGACTCAAGGCAGGCTAAAGCAATAAACAGAAAAGCCATTTTCAAAAGTCCTAACACCATCTGTTTTCATCTATACAACCTAGTCTACAGGGAGTTGAGCTGCTGAGCCTCTCTAGCATTTATAATTCAGTACAACTCTACAAAGAAAGCTGAGCAATCTCCTCTAGTGTCATGTACAGTCTTTAAATACCCACTGGAAAGTCAGCTATGAGTTAGCTTGGAGTCTACAGCCGTGAAAAATAATTCATTATGAGAAAGTTTTTGCCAATAGGATATGAGATATACACAGCTTAAATTTTGCCATTAAAGTTTTAAGGCACATAATATTTTTTTTCTCTAAGTGATGAAATCAAGTTAATTCTAGTTGTGTGCAAGAGCACATACCCTTTTCATGGTTGGACACAATCACTGAATGATCTTTGAGACCAGAGATTCACATTGTGTCTGAAGTCTTTTTTTCCACCTCAAAATAATTACATAAGAAAGAAATACACTTTTTAAAAATTGTTGCTTTGGTTAGAATTTCTTTCGTTATGGTAGCATAGATTGTACCTATAATTTATAAAAACTGTCAAATTTTATTTTTCAAATTTGACAATGGACTTTTAATGATGTTGAGAACAACTGCTTATAATTACTGATTATGTATGCAAAAATAAGAACTATATATATTTATTATACATTATCTCATAAAATGAGATAATACAAAATACATAAAGGCAACAAAAATTCCTTTATCTATTTCTAAGGCAATAAAAAGTGATAATTTTTTCCCCCATCAAGCTGACCTCTATATGCCAGGTTACAGGCATGTTTTGTAGTTTAATTACACTACTCTTTTCTCCACAATACTTGAGAATGATTGCTTTTTATTTCAAGATCCTTAGTTCTAAATTGGATAGTTAGTCTATGCTCATAGAATCATTCAAAGTCTAGTCATTAGACATGCACTGCTTATTGATTATTATTTAACAAGGCATGTTCTTTCCTTAAATTTGTTCTTGAAAAGCTGGCTACATGCTCATTTCTAATGAAAGTGGCTATTTCAGGTTGTGGCATTGAATTTCTAACTTCAGCGATCCATGATGGTTTCTTTTTCACAGTACTCCTTTAATCTAGGTATTTTCCACATCACATAGAGTGATGGCAAGATGATTTTAAAGTCTCCTTGGTTGGGGAAAAATATAAAACAACCCTCAGAACATCAATTTACGCTTGAAACAAGAGTTGTTAACAGAATTGCTACTAGTAGCATAATCTCCATTAAACATAAGCAAAAAGCAGAAGATGAAGGAATGAGGAACACTCATTTGAAATTGCCACATCTACAATCAAGTAAGAGGGAAAAAATGTGAATGTTCTAAATTTAAAAGAAATATTAACTAATAGTAAAGAATAAATATAATGATAAATTGGTAGCAGCATTGAAATTTGTCCCAGAATTATTTTCATTTCAAATTCTATGTCTTTAATATCTCTACCTTCAGTGCTTTCTCTACCCTCAGCATAGTGCATGAAACAAAAGAAAACAAAAAATAACTGTCTCTACCTAAAGCATGCAGAATAATTTCAACTAGCCTTTTAAAAATAATTTTTATATTTACATGTAGTTTATCACTTAGTAATACCTGTCTAAAAGGAATATTTCTCTACTTCATCAATCATAAATAATAGAGTTTGGGATATTATTCATAAACCATATACTTATAAACTATATACACCTAACATTTTAAGATGTAGATTAACAATGAATAATAAAACTCGCAGAGTGGCAAAACAGATGCAAAAATATGGAAAAAAAAACCCCTTCAGTTTATAAAATATTCAAGAATTTATTATGAGAACTCTATATATCACCCCAAGGAGATT